TTCAATTCCGAAATTACCTTGCTTACGTGGTGAACTGGGATGAACTGTAAATTTCTTGGCATGGCGTCTTCATGGAAATTCTCCTAGCTTTCAACAAGCTTTATTTATTTATTTATTGATTTATTATTTTTTTTTTTGCGTAGGAGGAATTTTTTTTTTGCCAATGTGAGATACCGTTCTTGTTTCCCTTTGACGTCCACGAAAGTTCCTTGAAGTTACGAAACGTTCCCCAACACCGCAGTGATTCCGAAGGGGCTCTTCTTTCATTTCGAATCCTGGCCGTTTGTCTTGTCGAAAGACTACCGATCAAGCGGAGACTAGCTCCCGTTCAGAGCATCCATAACACAACGCGGCCCAGAACAAATGTAAATCATAAAATCAAATGTCATAAAAAAAGTTTAAAGCGATGCCTAAGGTATAAGTCGTTCTCTACTCTAGTAGGTGACAGGTTAAGTACCGAGTATATGCTCCGCCTCCAGCACGTGTTCGCTGCTTTCTGCCGAGCTTTGCCTGCGCTCAACGATGTCCAGAAAGCTCGCGCTCAACGCGTCAGAGCATCTACCGGGTTATTAACCTTTCACAGACTATAGTGGCCAACGCCCTCCATAATAAAGAAGAGCACTATACCTCGTTTCAGCTTAAAAGCATAAGTTCCGACGAAGCCGATGCTACGAGTTAATGGAACGAATCAAGCAGCGTCAAACGCGTAAGTCACTAGGATTTTTTTTTTTTTTTTTTTTTATGATTGGTTCAGCGATGATAGAACAGGTACAGAAACATGGCGTGCACCACGATGGCGCTCTTTTGACGCTTTCTGTTTGGTACCATCAGCTCGTAGCGTCGGCTGCGTCTGGACCAGGGTGTAAGATAGACAGGTGGGGAAACGGCTCATAGATAGGGAGGCTGAAGTGAGGGTGGGTGCAACTGCTAGATCGGGGATCACGGGACATGGACGCCATTTAATTGCTAAATTTTGCTGGGAGTCTATGGGGCAAAGGGTCGTTTTATTTCCTAACTCAGGTCATAAGAGCCCATTAAGGTGCTTGAATAATTTACGCAAGGTATAAATGATTACTTTTCCATAGCCACCAGTTTTGTTGCGATAGGTTAAGTATTTTTTTAACGCGAAAAATGGTAAATTCCGCCATCTTGGACGTTGCTGCTTGTCTGGCAACCCTGCTTTCTCCTCTCAACGTTTGCAAATCCCGGAGCGAGGAGGAAGCGAGAGAGGCTGCGCCAATGCGTTCGTTGCTTGCAATGGGAGGCGAGAGGAGGAAAGGCGCATGGAGCAACAGAGTTGCAACAAAGCGGGCGTCTGCTCTCGTGCATGCAACATTGGGGCATATCCTCTCCCGAATCCTCTCCCTCAGGCGCCGCCATTGAATTGCAAACGCTCTCCAGGTTTTCAGTTGCGCCCACCCTCACTTGAGCCTCTCTACTATGGTGTTCTAGAACTGGGCAGTGTGTCGTCCGCGCCGAGAAGCAACGGAGGGAGGAGGTCGGCGCAGCGATGACGGAGCGCAAGGACGCCAGGGGGCGCTGCGGGTAACAGGCGTGCTCCTTTCCGCTCGGATTGCCGTGTGGCCGTACTGCTTGTGATCGCGTAGTTCGCGTCGTCGCCTTGTTTTGCTGCAGTTTCTTTTTTTTTTTTTAATGGTTGAGTCAAATGGATTGTGATCATTGCTGTTCAGTGGGATGTAGACAACGCGTGCAATGACGGAAAAACGGCGGGACAAGAGAGACGGGACATGTTTTGTGTCGGGGCAGTGATTTCCCTACACCCCTCTACGGGGGTGTACTCCCCCCTTGTTTTTCCCAAAGCACCCCTTTAATTCGCAACGACTCTTATATTCTCAATGCCCCCCTCCCCCCCCCTCCCCTCCCTAACCTCAATTATTGGGCCAGGTGCCGGGTTGCAACAGTGGCAACAGTGGCAAAGAAGCCCGTTCCCTTTTTCGTGCCCCTCTTCGAGTTCGATCGGCGTCAGTCGTCGTCCCGCAACATTAAAAGGAGTGACAGGGAGACTCTGCTTCATGTAATGCAGGCAGTCATGGCAGTCGTCTTCTACATTTTTTTTCCGGACTTTTTGCAGTCTAAGTATCTGCTAAATCGGTTTGACACTGGTTTGGACACACCGAAGGGTCCTGTGCACGCTGACTGCATTAGAAAGGCTTGGAGAAGTGTCTGTGAAAATGTGACGTTAAAGGTTATAGCCTCACATCAGCAAAAATTTTCCTAACGACTTTAAAATGATGAGGGTTGGCCCAGCACTCCGTCTCTTCAATGAGGAGGCGCCAAGAGGCCTCTTTTTATTTTTACCGCAAGAAAATTGAAGGGTCTTATGGCCCAGCGGACCATCGCCTCCGAAATCCTTGGGTGCACCTCATTAATCTCATCTGTGCGCTGGCGCCCAGTGTATAATTAAAAATTTATCTGTGTGCCCTGGTGCCCACACATATCAATATAGCTGGTGCTCAGTGGATAAATAAGAATCTATCCACTGTGGTTACTACCAGAGCTGGTGAGTGGATACATTTTTCTAACTATGCGCACAGTCCTGTTTGAAGACCCTACGTAGTAACAGAAAATACGATAAAGGCTAGTGCTGGAAATTCCTTCGAAAGCCCGTGGAAGCAGCTGCAAGAGTCGACAGTGGCACCTCCATGCAGCCTACGGAAGTAGACGATATAATCCGTTTTGTAAGCCCCATTTTGTTTTCCCAAACATTGAAACAATTCATTAGGGTAGTGCGCGCTTCAACCACGGATTTCATTGATCACAACTACAGTGACAGCGAAATTATAGGGCCACAAAAGCACACATTTGTTTAGGTATCATGCCATCAGCATGCTTATCCTACGTTATCCAGGGGATTACACACGTTTGGGACGTCTCTTTCAAGAGACTTCCCGAACGTTTCCCTGGGGGATGGATTTCCCGCAGCTATTCAGAACGCAACATTGTTAGCGCGATCAAGCGATCGCCGGTTTTTCTATGAGAAACCAAAGCTTCCAGCAAAGTTCTAATTGCTGGGAAAAAAGCTCATTCGGGTCTATAATGCAGGTGATAAAAGTTCGTCCTCACTAATACTCTTTCGAAGTAAATGCGAGAAAGCGCCAATGTCTTGTTCGCGCTAGCAGTGTCGCGATTTGTACTGTGGCGTCCTGCCCGAAGATGCACGTCTCGGGCAAAGCATTTGGAAACGAATTAGTGCGATAAATAATATGTGAAACAGCAGAAATAATGAATACCGTAAAGAGTTAGCCAAACAATACGAAACAATCGAGCCCGTGCGGAACGCCAAGCCAGCCAAGCGCTACCGCTGCCTGCGCTCCGCACTCCGGCAGCACGCCTACTACACGTTGCGCCCTCTCGCGGCCACCGATCCGGTCATCGCTGAAAGAGCCCCCCCTCCGCCGGCGCTCGCTACACTGCCCAGTCTTCTAGTACACCATATCTCTACTCATAGAAACCTACCGCAGCGCCGTGACCGGTTTGTGTACTCGTCTGCTTGCGGGTACCCCCGATTTGCGACAGATGGCGCTGCGGCGAGAAGAAAAAAATTGGAATCGAATTCGCATGGAGCTTTATGGAAGAGTGCACAAAATAAACCGAGAGCACGACAGTCCTCCATTGAAAATCCACGAGAAACCTTCTCCGTCAGTTTAGCCGGTCGCCACTGTTCGTCCACCTGGAGTGAGAGTTCGAGGTGCTCCACATAGATGGCGCCACAGAAAAAGAGAAAACCTAGGGAGGCTGTAGTGAGGGTATGGTGAGGGTGGGCGCAACTCAAAACCTGGAGAGCGTTTGCAATTTAATGGCGGCGCGTGAGGGAGAGGATTCGAGAAAGGATATGCGCCAGTGTTGCCTGCACGAGAGCAGGCGCCCGCTCTGTTGCAACTCTGTTGCTCCATGCGCCTTTCCTACTCTCGCCCCCCATTGCAAGCAACGAGCGCCTTGGCGCAGCCTCTCTCGCTTCCTTCTCGCTCCGAGAATTGCAAACGTCGAGCGGAGAAAGCAAAGTTGCCAGACAAGCAGCAACGTCCAAGATGGCGGAATTTACCATTTTTCGCGTTAAAAAAATACTTAACCTATCGCAACAAAACTGGTGGCTATGGAAAAGTAATCATTTATACCTCGTGTAAATTATTCAAGCACCTTAATGGGCTTTTATGACCCGAGTTAGGAAAGAAAACGACTCTTTGCCCCATAGACTCCCAGCAAACTTTAGCAATTAAATGGCGTCCATGTCCCGTGATCGCCGATCTAGCAGTTGCACCCACCCTCACTTGAGCCTCCCTAAGAAAACCGAGGGGGACACAGTCCGGTCGTTCATTTGGCTCTCGTTTCACCACCTGTCTCTCTTACACCCTGGTCTGGACTTAAGGGGAAACGAAGTACAGCTGGTTGAACTCTGCATATGTCTTAACCGTATGTACATTTGAAAGGGTGCAGCACAATTGGAAGCGATAAAACAGCACGCCTTGTATTGGTGGGGTGAGTAAGAGGATGATTGAAAAGCAGAAAGTTTGGCCTTAGCTCATAGCTCTAGTGGACTACTTTACACTGAGGGGAGGGGATATGAAGTAAATGAGTGACACTGATAAAATAAAATTAAGGAAGGGAATATGGAGAAAGATGAATCTCACACCTCAGAGGGTCAGTGACATCCTCGTGCATCGCAAAACGCTAACCGAGGCGTTTGTGGCCTTTGCGATTTCAACGTATCCTTCCTCGTACTTTTCTCTCGGAAACGAGTGTACGCTGCAGAAGCGTTTCAGAAGCTTTTTTTGGAGGGTTGGGAACGCGTTGCTTCTGATAGCGCGGACGTACACGCGAGCAGAAGCAATGAACTGGTCGCCAAATGCAGTACCACCTACGGGCGCTTTTAGGACTACGAAGGGTGTATGTAACATGGCCTCCGAGATTGCCGGCCAGCGAGCTTTGCGCGCCAAAAATATCAGAAGTCACGGGCGTAGACAAGGAGCGGATGCACTCACGCTTGCGCTGGAAGCGGGTCTCTCTGGCGGGAACCCGAAGCGCTGCACGTCCGACTTGATGTCGGTGTTCAGCCAGAGCTTGGGCTTGGGTGCGGTCGGAGGTGCCACCTTCTTGGGGTCGGTCGTGGTCGTAGTCGATCGGTTCGTCACGGTCAGCGAGTACATGGAGCCTCCCGATGGAAGGCTCGAGCTCACCTTCGTGGTCTCCGTCAGGCTCTGCACCACGGGAGAGCAGGTACCGATAAACCTCTGTTCCACTCATCAGTCGAGTTACCGCAACTACCCGACTCGACCATTCCATGGCCAAAGCCCACGGGTTTACTTTCTCCCAAAACCCGCGGATGGCCACACTGCTCATGCATCATACAAAAGACAGTCTGCAAACACGAGTCACCGCGATGTCCGTGGTTCGAATGCCTCGTGCCAACTATTCCCCTTGAACTCATTTCCACGCGGCATTCAAAGCACAGATCTCGCGGTTACTCGCGTTTGAATCTGTAGGTAGACTGCCCTTCGTATATGATGTATAAGCAGTGTGACCTCTGCTTTAAGGATCATCGATAAAGAGAAAAAAGAAAGGTGACCAGCGTTGAGGCACTAAAAACTGATTTATATATTTGTGTATGAGCATAATCCATTCCGTTCCAACCGCGTGTGACCGCTTATGTCGAGACAGCATAGTGGCGCCACCAATCGGGTAACCCTGGAACACTTCGGGTCTGCGTATATTTTACGCAGCAAGCCATGAACCTTGAGGAGTGTGTTAAGCCAGGGTGCGCCCGAAAATTCCACCGATGAAAGTTGCCAAAGTCTCTATTATTCCACTTGGATATCACCCGGCCTCGGCTGATACTTATAATCCCCTTCACCTAAAAGGGTTCCTGCCGCGGTGCAACCGCCTCTAAAATTTCATGGCCCAATAAACGTTTTCCCACTCACCTTTACGCGTCATTCTTTTACCATGCCGCGAGTTTTAGAATGGCCTACGCAATGGCTTGGTGTTTACGCAAAGAAATAGCGTCGCCACCATGGGTACATCCAAAACGTAATTCATGCTCGGCGCATGCGCAATGTGGCCACGCAGCCATTTCTTTGCGTATACGCAAAGCTTTTGCGTACGCCATTCCGAAACTCGCCAATTCTGGCAATGATTTAAGCGGCCATTCCTCACAGATGGCGCGCAGGTTTGATCCCGCAAATGCTGGAAAACCTTTAGTATAGTTACACGCAGATCGAAACTGTTCCAGGGCTTCCTCATAGATGGCGCTAGTGTGCCATCACACTCGAACGCAAAATCCCATTTTTTAGCGTCACTAATATCTTTGCTTCTCTATCTGTGGATTTCTGATTGGCTTTCCATGCGCTTTAAAGAAAAACGAACCTGCGGTCTTATTTTTTTGTTTTGTTTAATTAAATGTATGCTTAGATACGAATTAATGCGGTAATTTGTTTACTTCAATGCTAAACGGTGACAACTTATCTATGACAGTTGTAGTCTCCGTGACCGTAAATATTTTCCCTATGAATGCGAATATTTAACTATGAGCAAGGTTAAGATTCCATGGCTCGCATCGACGCTTCGAGATATAAGGATCCCAGTACACAGACACAAGCAGTCAGCTTGAAACCTTATACTTTCAAACAATCTAAAGGCCTTCGGAAGATAGAATAGGCGTCAGATAAACTAAAATTAAAAGTTTATCTGGTCTGTACTACAGAGCCTTGAAAGATATGGACTTCTAAATCTAAACATAAATCCGAGCAAACCTGCAGTAGTAGCAAATATAATCAACCGTTAACTAGAAGAAAAATTATGAATGATGTATTAACCTGTGCTACCAAAAAGGTATCACACCTCCAACTAATATCCTGTAAGATAGCCCCCGGTAGTCATTTGAGGTGGAAAAGTAGTTTGGGTTGTAACTTTTGGTCGGCAACCCAAGAAGAACGAAGAAAAAGAAATGTGCGACTTGGTTTCTCATTTACTTATGCTTACATCAGTTGCCCTAATCTACGATACGAGTATTTCATTATTTGAAGTCCATTGAAAGAACTTTGTAAATTACTCTATCTGCTAAGTAATGTAAGAAGCAGAGGCTACGATTGTCGAAACTCATATTGCTTACCCGATTGCACAAACTGTCTCAAGTCTCATAACACTATTTTTTTATGAGGGTGGGCAATTTCTAGGTGGTTCTCTTTGTCAAAAAATAAATACCAGAACACAAAACAGTGGTGGGCCATCTTTCGAAGCAGGAAATCCCTCGGGATGTTACGGTAGCTTTAGTTACGGTAGAACTTAAAGTTCAAAGTATACAGAAACAGAGTCAGAAAGAACTATGTGGAAAAGAGTCGATTATTTCTACACGCAGATCTTTAATGTACACGATTGCTCCAATTAGGCCGGCCCAACAGGTGTAACGAAACAATGGATGAACTCGCTTCTATCAAAGTGGGGAGAATCTCAAAACAACGAGTGTCCGCTGTCAGGACTTTTCACCAGTCCGGGCTCTTAACGGGATCAAATGCTACCAAGTTTAGATTGGTGTCGGCCATCTGCGGCGTGTCTGCCAGGTCCGACTTAACTTTAGATCTGGTTGTTTTCTTTAAACAATGTCTTAAATAAACACCGGGTTCCTCGTCCGAAAGAAATGAAGGAAGGAAAAAGAAATGGGTAAAACGCGCGCCTATGAAAAAAAAAAAAAAAAAAAAAGAAAGAAAGAAATATAGGTGGAGACAGCCCGAAGACCTTCGTTAGCCAAAATAAATCTTCGTTCGAGACGGAACGCAAGTTTTTGCCAGTCTGTGGGGCTTCCTTGAACGAGAAATGCCGCACACCAGCTGCTTGGCGTCAGGGACGGGGAAGGTCCTGCACGAGGTCTGAATACCCTCAGCCAAATGGGGTAGACAGGGGGGCAACTCCGGAACGCAGGAAATTGCATTCATAGGTCTCCTAATTTTTTTTTGTTTTGTTTTGTTTTGTTTTCCGGGAAGGCAACTTTATGGCACGTTGAAGTGGCTTTTCCTGGCTGTGAAACTACCCGAGAGAGACCTGCACGGCCTTTCATAGTTTTAGAAGAAACATTTTTTGACACAAGAAGGGAACAAGTTCTAACTGATTTATCTGTTGAATTCGAACACGTTCCAAGTACCTATTGCAAAACTATATTCACCGTTTTTCTTTTTTGTACTCATCGTTGTGCCTTTGAACGAACGTATATTCACCGCTCTGTCAGCCTGTGCGTTGAGAGCTCCAGCGAAGAACGTGACTTGGGGCAATGCCGGAGGTCATATGACGGTCACTGCAGCCGCTGATGACGTAACATGATTCGTGAAAGATATAGCTTTCGCTGAATTGTTAAAATCACACATTTGATTGCGTGAGACAACGCCCTCCAGGGCGTTGGAGGGCGTTGTCTCAAGGACCTGGTGGACAAACTCCACCAGGTCCTTAAATTCAATATTAATTTTTACTTTTATTTTATTTCTATGGGTTAACCGGAGTGAGAATACACACCGCTCATACATCATCCAAAAGACAGTCTGCAAATACGAGTCACCGCGATATCTGTGGTTCGAATGCCGCCTGCCCAAGTTTTCTCCTTGGACTCATTGCCATGCGGCATTCGGAGCACGGATCTCGCGGTGACTCGCCTTCGAATCTGCTTGCGGACTGTCCTCAGTATGATGTGTAAGCAGTGTGACCCCGGATTTAACACAATTCTTCCAGTCGATTCCAGCGCATTAACTCGTGAATGGGTGTTGGAGTTTTCTGCCTATAAAGTTTGAGGTGTAAATGACATTGACCGCCAAAAAATCTTCTGAAGTACAGAAGGTAGACCTCGATGCTAGATGTCTTGAGGCCGACCCACTATCTTCAACCAGCCAAAAAGAGAAACTTCTCCACAAGAAGCAGACAAACATTGCGCCCCGCATTGCTTCGCAGCCAGGGAAATTTCGGGACAAAAACGCCGAAGAAGGACTCACTGCTTTAGTGATTTGGACAGTGCTCAGACTGCTCACCTCAGCTTTCTAGCGTGCATCCCGCAGTAATGACTACCCCTTGTGCGCACGCTGAAGCAATGTCCGTCAATTTCGAAACCAACTCATGAAGTTCGCGATTGTACTGGGAGCGTTCGTTCCGAAAACTGCTCATGGGCCACAAGAACGTAAAATATCGCTCCAGACGTGCCATCCTCCGCCGTGCAGTGACCCGTTGCTATTTGCAGCTCTACAGCGCACTAAAACTCTTTCGGACACTTCTTTTTCTATTTCGACCTTTTAGACTAAGTAAGTACACAATCAAAAAAACAAATGAAGTGTCTTTTGATTACTGATTTTTCCCTCTTACGGTGAACATCCTGGACGGCAGGTTATTTTCACAACAGTGTGTTGCGGTTGTGTGCGCGCGAGCTCATAGAAATATACTACCACCCCTTTTTCCTCACACAAGGGACGTTGGAAGTGTGACTTGCACTGTCATCTACACGCTCGATAATTCCGCTGCTAGCCCCGCGTTTCTTCTTCGATATCAGCTAATAAAAATAGGGAAAATCCATTTGAGTAGCAAGTGCAAACTTTCTTAAACCGGGAGGGGGCTTGCGCCACCTGGCGAGCGTGTTACTTTCATTCGCGTATTTACTTTGTTTGCTTTACCTAGCAAGTGAGAAACATATTTGTCCTGTACTTGATGATCTCGCACAACCGACTGAACATATAATACACAACCTGATTAGCGATTATTCAAATAAAAAACAACATGTAATTGCGAAAACAAAGCCGCATGAGAGGATTTGTCTCCAACTTTCCAGATGGGAATGTCGCCACTGAGCTCCTCAGTACAGATGAAGAAATCTACAAATGGCGAAAAAACAACAACAAAAAAACACACATATGAGTCAATATATTTTTTTTTGCTTTTCCAAAATAGGTTTTTGCAAAAAACAGCGTTGTTTGATTTTATTTTTTTAGGGGGGGGGGGGGGGGGGGGCAATTTTTATTGCTACTTTCATGCTTCAACAGATTGTGCAATTTAACATGGGTTGGGTACCCGCCCTTGTCCATTCTTTTTTTTGTGAAATAGCATTTAAATTGTCATTGGTCCTGCTATCATTTCTGCACCATGTACATTAAATTATCAGGTCTTTAGCGTGCAGACTAACTTCCTGCTGTCATAATCTGAATACAGCAATCTTGCCTCATCAATATTACTCCATATTGCCACGAATACTTGCAGGTACACTGTAAATAACTTCAAACACTCTAATAAATTAATTTTCAGTTTCTTTTTTTTTTGTGTGTGTGCGTGGGGGGGGGGGGGGTACGATTTCAATGATTCTGACAGCAACAACAACAACAACAAAAAAAATAAGGTATGAGTGGCGTCACAAGTCGACGCTAGTATCTCAGTGACCTTTGTTTTTAATACCCACACTGATCCTTTACCAAACCCTTCTTTGGTTATGAATCAGCAAATTAAGAAAAACGACAACAACAACACATAGAACAGCTTGTCTGGTGTTTGGCGATAACGAAAAAAACAAAACCATAGAACTCACAAATGTCTGAAACGCTGCACGCTCGAAGGTCCTTGTGAGTGCATCGCATTGAAATCTGAGCACCAACCATTTATCTTTCTCTTTCTTGAGCATCTGAGACTGTATTTTCTTTGGGGCACGACACCGCTCGCTCATCTCATTGGCTAAACTCGTTAAAGGAAGAACAATGATTCGTGTTTCAGGTGCATATCGGAACAGCACACATGGAAAAACCTCTAAGAAATTTGCAGTCTATAAAAAAAAAGAAAAAAAAAAAAAAACCAAATTCGCGAGTTTTCTTTTTGCGGAACACTGCGACAGCCAATCGAGGCGAGTAATAAGCCTGATGCAAGTGACGAAGCTCAGGATACGATTAGACCGCAGAAATGCAGAGTACGCTGGGGCAATGAGCGGGGCGTTTCAGTCGTTCGTTGTCCCTGCTGCGCACATTGCAATTTTTTTTTTCAATACTAATTGTATTGCGGGCTTTGTCATTCGCTGGAACCATTCTATTGTTTGCCGCGATTGGCTGTCTTTTTGTTCTGCAGGAAAGCGACCTCACATACTTTTTTTTTTTTATTAAGAACATGGTGTTATGCTCGGCTTCCGTCGTAGCAGGTACGGGTGAATTCAACACCAGGAGAGGAAAAGACGGGAGCAGAGCGCGGCAAATCCTGAGCGCTGATATCGGAGGTCCCGAGAAAAAGAACGAGAAAGAAAGCGACAGAAGAGCAGAAAAAGAAAGCAGACCAAAGGTTAGGTGATGGGTATGCTCGAACTTACAGAAACAAACATAGAAGAGACGGGACAAGGCAAAACAGCTGGGTAGCAACTTTTCTTTAGTGCACGTTATTTTTGAATGCTCTACTTTTTGTTTCTACGTAAGTTCGAGCTGACCCTTTACCGATACGCACACACTAGCTCACAGGCACGTAGCCAGGATTTTGTTTCGGGGGGGGGGGGGGGGGGTAAGGGCCCGGATTCCATATCTCCCCCCCCCCCCCCCCCCCCCCCTTGCCTACGTGCCTGCTAGCTCAGCTATAGCCTGAAAGGTTAGGCGTGTTCGTTTTACCGCGCGGGTTGAAGTTGTTCGAGCGCTTGTCAACTTTATTGATTCTTATTCAATACGCGATTCCGGTGTTTCCCCGCAAAGTAAGCTACAAAAGAACTAGGCACAGAGCTTACTGACGACAGTTTGCTGCCTCTTTTTGCACATTAAAGGAGCGGTGCAACGATATTCAATTGGAATGTTTTTCTCTCTACACGAGCTTACTGGCACACCTGCGACTCAAGGATACTCACACGCAACGCCATTGGCCAAGAAACTCGTTTGTTTGCGGTGTAATTTCAAGGACAAAAGCGATCATTTTCATTCAATCTTTCCTTTGCAAAATTTGATGATGTAACTCGGGGATCGCAGTACACCCAAGTGACGATATTTGAATGCGGTTCATAGATTGGACCCGAGCATTGCGTGGGCACTCGACTTGGGCTCGTGACAATTGCTAGCTCGAGAAGCATTCGGGTTGTGACCCGTGTCCAATCGCTGCAACGACGACAACAGCCGAACCATAACAATGTCTGGAACTCAGCGCGTGTCCTGCGCTTTGCCAACCCCAGCGCGTGGCTATGATCAACACTGGCGGCATATAATCGGCTCCAGATCACGTGGCCGCTTGTTCTGGCTGCGAGTTGAGGGGGTGAACGCTGCTCGTTTCTCTTAAATTTTTTTCTGGGACTTCTATTGCGTGGGATAAAGAACGAACGCGTGTTTCATAGGTCATTAACGTTAGGGATTCGTGTTAAGCGGTATTTGCGCAAAGTACAAAAACTGTTGCATTGCTCCTTTAAGGCGTCGCCAGCGATATGGTCTAAAACACGATACGGAGACTAAGGCTGCCTTTGTCTTCACCGCACTCGTTGAACGCGTTAGAATCCGAAAGCCAAACGTCGGACGCCGGCGTTCCGCGTTCTAACGCGTTCGACGAGCGCAGTGGAGACAGAGGAAACTGTGCGGAGCGCAATTTCGTCTGCTTCTTGCACGGGGGTTCCGATGACTTCAGAAAGCCGAGCTTTTATTGGCTGATTAACAAGAAAAAAAATAGTGGGTAGACCTTAAGACATGAAGCATTGAGCCCTACCCACTATTCCTCCAATCGAACCCTATCAGAACACGGCGTCGTTTTGACGTCACCGCAACCTCTGCCCAAGAAGCTGACTACTTGCTCTCCGCGTAGCTTTAGGTGTACCCTCTAGTCATTCCAACCAGAGCTCGGCGGTCCGAAGTCCCCGCGCACTCTTGTCTCCTCCTTTCCCTCAGTTTCTCGCCGTATAAAATAATCGAGGTCTGCGAACGTCTTTCTCTTCCTCCACGGACCGTCATCCCAGTCGGATGGCGCCAACTCGGCAGTTAGCCCCGAACCCGACGCCGAGCGTCCTTTGACGCATTGATTGGACACGAGGCCCAGCCGAGCACTGACGCAACAGCACTCGTATCCCATCAGCGTCTTCGCGCTCGATCTCACTGGCTTGAACTCAAAATTCCATCGTCACAGACGACCAAAAGGAGGCGGAGCATGGCTTATGACGTTCATGTTTTTCTTTTGGTTCGAGATTGTTTTTCTTTTTTTTTTTAATGCGAAAGCATGGAGCGGAGCTGACGTCATCAGTCGTAAGCGCGAAAATTGCAGATAGTTTCCTTCGGTTCCATTGGCTGGCCTGCGTCGACGGGGCTCCCATTGGCCGATGCGGTCGTCAGTTTCCACGACCGCTCACCCCATGACGCTGCGTGTCCATTAGCGCGGAGCGTCCAAGGTCACCAGGGGAGCACACGCGCCGACCGACGATGAAAAGTACGCAGCAGACGAGAAAGGGAGCGGACGAGCGGCTTGCATGCTTTCGCATTCACAACTCATAAGAAGTGCTTAAGTGTACCTCGAGCTTTTCTTTTGCGTGCTTTTTTCATGTTGCAATCTCATAGACTGTGAAGTAATAACATTGCTGATACATCGCACAAAAAAAAAATCTGTAGACATGTTATGAGGCGTCTTTGTTCCTTGTATGGCGGCCCCACCACGTTGGTGGTACAAAATCTTTCTGCAGACATGCTCGCGAAGTACGCAAATGTACGAAGTGCTTAGAAAATTTCCAAGGCACGACCGGAGATAATTTTATCGTGTCTACACCAAACATAGTATCTTTGTTGTTTTTTCCAATCATGTTCGGGCAGTTTTTTCTTCTTTTTTTTTTGGGGGGGGGGGGGGGGGGGGAGGGAGGCGTCGGCGAAGTGCGCTGCGAGACACGGGACGTACAAATGAAAAGGGTTTATTGAAACGAAAATGTTCCGAAGAGCGGTGAGATGTGGTCGAGGCTTCCGTCGACGTGGCCGATGGAACGTTCCGGCGGGCGGCATCACGGGAACGACGACTCGAAGCTGCTGCTCGAGGAGAAAGTCTGTTTCGAGTACTTCATTTGCTGCGAGACAGAGAACGGCGCCAAGTTGAGAGCGTTCCAGCAGATCCAACGCGCTCGCCAAAGCGTCAGAACACGTCTGGCGTGAAATGAGCCACATAATCTTTTTTCTCCTCTCCGGCTCGTCCTTCGCACCGCGCTTATATAACTGCGGCGCTTCAGCACACCGCGTAGGAATGACTAGGTTCAGAATGAGCGCGTAAAAAGGACGTTAGATTAAATACGAACCATCAATAGGGAGTTTTATTAGGTCGTCCCGATAACTCTGATAACAGTACCCGATTACGATACGATACACGTGCAAAGACGTCGACGAGGTATCGGGTAGTGTTATCGAAGTTAACGGAACGATCTACTAAATCTCCCTACTGCCACATTTTTGTAAGCGACTAGCCCGACCTTATGAAAATGAGTAGTAATAGGACCTTAACGCGAGATTTAACTCAAAGACAATCGAAACGCCAGTATTCATATAATAACCATAAATCTGATCTGGCGATATATCGGTGCTGATTGTTAGGGTGAATTGGAGCTTGAACTTTAAGAACATGGTAGGGCGCTTTTTGACACGGACAAGAGGGGACCGTGTTCTGTCAAAAAGCGCTACCATGTTCTCAAACTGGCAATTAAATTAGACTACCCCAACGAATATCTCCGTCCTATTTCTATTTAATTCGCAGAATAGCCAACCAGGACTATCAGCTTATGCTAAGTTTTTTTCTTATAGTTTTTTTTTCTTTCTTGTTTTGATTAAAGGTTGTTTTTGTTCAGCGACTTTAGCGAGTCCGTGCATCCGACGCCATTGGCCACTAAGAAGTGAAAATATGAGCAATCTTAAATGTTTGCCGAATTAACTTTTCAAGATTGATTTCAACCGATAAATATCAGTGTTCTAGAGCAGTCTGTCACACCTAGCCAGCCGTATTGCTCTGCAGATCCAAAACGTAGTTTTCCGATTATCACCCTCTTTCATGTCGGGTGCATCATCCTCAACGCCGTTATTTCCAAATTAGTTATAAATATCGGAATTGTCCAGTGCTCGCAAAAAGAAGAGAAGAATATTATGCAATGTTGTTTTTACAGATAAATGCACAAACAAATGCATCAAATCCCCCCCTCGCCCTTCCCGGAAAAAAAGAAAAAAAAATATAAAATTCGGAAACACCAATTACACACCGTAAAAAGTTAAGTGATTAAGAAAGTTTTGACTATTGCTTTCAAGTCCTCCTGATAATACTACGCAATGTAGCTCGTCGAGAAGGTTCGTGTTTTGAAGTCATTAAGTGCGCTTAGTCTCAAAAGACGCTCGCTGGAAAAGGACGGATCTGCTGTTGTTTTTCTCAGTTCCCATCACTCATTACCTTATCTGCCACTCTTGTGACAGGGCAGTCCACCATGAGGAAAAACGCTACGTACCTGTTGTGCCGTCGTTTTGGTAATCCGTTGGGCCTCGTTGGATTCAAAGGAAGACTGGGACACCATGGACCTCGAGTCGGACATGAGCTTCTGGACGGCGTGGCTGGACTCGGCGATCGAGTGGTCTCCACACTGGGCCACCCGCTTCGTCTGCTGCGACTCCATCCGGGACTCCGTGGTCTTCTTGATCGTGGACGCCTGTCCCTCGGGCACCACGGTGTCCGTGGGCAGCTTGAGCTGCATTTCCAGCGTGGCGCCCAGCGGCACGTTGATGATCGAACCGGGCGTCAGGGAGACCTTCTCTCTGTCCATGGCGCGTTCTTCTCGCGGCAGCTCGCTCGGTGCTTCTAGAGTGCGGTTCGGACCCGGGCTTTCTTCGGCGGAGAGGGGTTCCCGTCGGGGCGGAGTTATGTTGGCCTCTCCCGGGGGGAACAATGACGAGACTATGTCGCGGAACGCCGGGAAGGGTCGTCGACAAGGACGTCGCCAACAAAGCGAGCGGAGACTCGATCTCGATGTCCAGCAACGATTAGTCGCTTTGTGGCCACGCCAGCCAGCCAGCCGGCTCTCAAGACTCCCCGACGGAAGGAGGGGAGGGCAGCGGTGCGCTAAACTGGGCGGCAGAAGGCGAGGGGTTTGCGCGAACCCGGGGTAACCGGAGCCGGAGAGGGGGGAGAGGGGGGGGGGGGTCGGAACCCCGGGCTGCGCAGTTGAGCGCGCTGATTACGACTGCGCGGTCGTTCCGAGGAACAGCGTGACTCAACGGCTACATTCTCGTGGTGAAGTCACTCGGAAAAGTTGAAACGTTTTGGGTTCGCGGGAAAAAGTTGCTGCCCTGCGCAGGAAGCGCGAGAAATCACCTGCCTCGGATTCTTTGTGTCGGCCGGAGAAAACAAAAATAAAGCAATCAAACGTAAGAGAAAGGGAGCGAGTCCTCGCAGCTTTCGAATTACTTTTCCCTTTGTCACGCCTGGCGGCTTCTGACTACTTCCAGTTTTTACATGTGAACATGTTTTTACATGTCTTGTTCAAGAATCACACTATCACAGATATTGTTATAATTTCCGTAATATCGATGGCGTTATCTCCACACCGGAACAAGGCAGGGAACGTAACGGAAACGAACTGTGACCAGTCTTGGGTAAGTTATTTTTTAAAAATTATTTAGTTACAGTTAGTGTTACTTTCCGAACAATGTATTTAAGTTACAGTTACATAAAAGTAAAAGTAACGCGTTACAGTTACAGTTATTTCGGCAGAGTAACTTAGTTACTTTCAAGATGCTCATATGTGAATGCAACTATGAAGACATGGATAACAGAACAAAATGAGCAACAGTTACATTTATTTGGGAATTTCTGAAAACTCAACCTTTCGAGATATATTTAATAACGCCGTGTTATATTATTCACACATGTTGTATCGAAGCAGCAACTGCTTTTCGAAGTTCTTGTCGCTTAACTCTCCCCTCTTGATGTTGAAATTTTCCCACCCCTTGCTGACAAGACGTTCGACAGGTGCGCTAGAAGGAACGCTATATTTCTGCAGCTTTTTTATGATGACATACAGGGGAAATATGGTCTGGCGAGATTAATGTAATTTAGCTTGAGCCAAGAATCTCACTGACCTCCAGCTCCACTTTTCCGACAATTATAAAGGGATGAGAGAAATAATCTTGGATAGCCTGAATGTCAAGGCAACGATGTGACGTGTTCGGCTAGTTGAATCAGCGTCGTCCTGTCGTGTATGTTTCTTTACTCTTGTCCAAGTTTCTTTGTCGCTGTTTCTTCTCAAGATGAATGTCAAGGATTTTACACTAGCGTACTTACACAAGTCTGACTTAAAGCCACTGGGCCAGCAAACGAAACATTCTTTATTTCTTGTTTTAATTTTGCTTTTGCTGTCAAAGGCCTAACTCCGTCTCTTCTTGTCTACAGGCTGAACGCCACGGTAGCCATCAAGAAAGACAGGGTTCATTTTTACGAGAAGTAACTGTGACTTTGCCGTTACAGTTTAGTTACTTTTGCAAAAAAAGTAATTAAGTTATTGTTACAGATACTTTTTGAAAAAGTAAAGAGTTACAGTTACAAGATACAAAAAAAAAAAGTAACGAGATATAGTATCTCGATACTAGTAACGCGATACTACCCGAGGCTGACTGTGGAACACTTGAAAATCACCATCTTTAATTTTTTTAATATTTTTTTTTCTTTTTAGGGGCAGCTTAGCCGGTTGGTTGTAACATGTTCTTCACGATACGTTTCCGGTCCGTTTCCGGCATAGCGTTATAACGGTAATGATATTACAGTAACGCTATGCTTACACGTTCTACAACTTCATTGTTGCAACCCGTAGGATCAAAGTACATTCAGCTTCGACAACCCCTCGCAAAAGAAAAAGTAAATAAAATTTTGTATTTCATACGGCTTACTGCCACGGTGCGTGTTGCCAGTAGTGTTCATTGAAATTATCGGAGGAGTCAGTGCTAGAGTCACGTCATAAGGTTCAGAGCGTATGAGCGACGGCGGCAACCTTTCGAGCCTTTCCATTCTGGCTTGCCGACTCGTGGCCGATCATTACTTCACTTCCACCATGGGCGTACCAACCGGAAGGGGGGGGGGGTGTCAAGACTTTCAGGGTTGGGGGGGGACAAGGCATGTGTTTTGCCTCCCCTCCCCCCCTGAAACAGCCACCACTGGGCAGGGCGAACACTGGCCGGCAGCGCCCAAGGGATACCAAGGGCACCGCCCCCCTGCCCTGGGGGGGGGGGGGGGGGAGGGTTGCCCCCCCCCCCCCCCCTCCGCTCGAAAACAAGTTCGTACGCCACTGCCTTCCATCATAGTACAGCTTCTCTGGTCTTCCTTCTTCACCAAACTGGAAAGGCTGAAGTTTTTTTTTTTATTACCGATTGGGGTGTAGCGAATAACGACTCGTCTGCAGCTAGGCACATGACTGACGTATGTATGCTTAGCATCCACCATTGCACTATGACACTCACAGTGTAAACGTATTTCGCCTAGATATTGTCTTGTAAATACAACGAAAATACAGGCAGACGTTCGTTTCTCTCGATAGGCGAGTTCAGATAACGTTTCTTCGCCGAAATGCCATTAACTCTGCTTCAACGAGCATCACGAGCTCTTCTGGGCCTATCCGATTGTAGTCGAAGCTAAGGCTATATACTAACTGCTTAAGCAACGCAGGGTGTGACTTAATTACTATATTCGTGGTTTTTGCGTTGTGGTTCGTTCTACAGTGTTTTTACCGGCCAATACCGCGACATCAGCGGCTGCGTATCGATAATAAAATACTCGAGACCCGCCACATCCTCTGTTTCTTCAGGGGCAATGGTATTGTAATTTTTTATAGTCCTTCCGAGCCGATAGAAATAAGTGAATCATTACGTCCCCCGCAGTTAAGTATGGGGCGCATAACTCTTGCCCGAAACAGCCCTCAGAAATTCTGGCGCGCAAACTGCACTGCAACGAACCTGGAAAACCAACCATTGGTATAGCTGCACTAAATAATTATGATAAGCAGCATCGTGCTAGGATGAAGGCGAAAAAAGAAAAACGATTTTTCGTGTCTTTTATTCTTATTATTTTTTGGTAACCACGGAGACAGCATGGTCACACGCGTCTGCTACAAATCGCCGTCCGCACGGTTTCTTATTTTCTGGCATTCTAGGTATATTTCGAGTCTACGATAGGAATATATGCGAGTATAACTGCCGTTTTATTAGGCGGCTATAGGAAAACAAGTACACCGCGCACTCGTGTTGGGATTACGTCCGTCGTGGCTCAGAGCGGCACGTCAACGGCGCGTACGGGTGACGCCTGTCTCGCACGACGTTGTAATCCCGTCGCTCGCTGTCGACGGGCGACCCGGTTTCTCCGAGCCGAGCATGTGCGCCCCTCGGCGTTCGCGTGAGGGGCGCACGCTCTGCTCGCAGCCACGTCGTCTTCGGGGTCCCCCGATCCCGCCACGTCCCAGAATAACCGCCATGGCGCCTCCTCGGATCCGCGCGCACGCGTCTTGTCTGCACTGCGGTGTTTCCCGGGTGTTCCTAACGGACGCCTTCCTCCGCTCCGAACACATCATCGACTCAAGTGCGGGACATCGGAACCCGCGGCGGCGCAGTTGGGGTGAAACCCGCCGTGTCGTGTGATCGCACGTGACTGGTGCATCACTCGGAGACCTCGCAATACACGAGCTGCGTGCCAGATGGCACCGGCCTGACGTCGTCGAGAGCTTAGTCATGCTTGGCTGCCGCGTCAGCCATTGACCGGACCGTTTCAGCCTTTTATTTCTTATTTTTTTTATCGTGAGTTGCCATAATCTTTCGAATTGCACCGGTTTTCGTATTAAGAGGGGTGGCTGGTCGGGAGTGAATAGGGGTTCGAATCGTATGCGCAAGTTCGTCTGCTTCTTATACAGCGGTTGCGATGACGTTAGAACGCCGACCTCTTATTGGCTGAATGAAAAAAATAGGGGGTAGACATCAAGGCATCCATCATTCAGGTCTACCACTGTTCTTCCAATCAAAGCCAATCAAAACTCGGCGTCGTTCACACGTCACCGCAACTCCTGCGCATGAAGCAGACGACCTGATCTCCGAATAGCACTAGGTCATTCTAAACTTTCACAATATACACATAATGAAGTAGAGGCGTGAAGGTACCGGTTCGAATCGAATAAATAGCCCAGTGTCATCCTTAGATTTAACACTGTTAAGAAACCCGGTTCCCGTGACTTCTGCATCCAATGTGAAGGTTATGGATGACGCAGTGCGATTCAATTCGAACTGATATTCGCACACCCTTAGTGGTATAGTGCGTGAATGGTTGTTTAAATCGAATAGCGCTGGGTCATTTTTAACGTAAAAATAATATATTAGAGATCGGCGAATACCGTTTCGAAACGAATAGATAACTCAATGTCAACCCTAGCTTTAACACTGTTAAGAAACCGGTTGTTCTGGTTTTCCCCTCCACTGTGAAGGTTAGGAATGATGCAGTACTTTTCAATTCGAACTCGTATTCGCACACCCTCAGCAATGGTGCGTAAGTAGTGGTTCGAATCGAATAGCGCTAGGTCATTTCCAACATTCACAATGTAAAAATATTAGAAGACACCTAAGCATTTCTTATGAGTTGTGAATGCGAAAGCATAAATGTCGTTCTTCCGCTCCCTTAGTTCATCTGCGGCGTACTGGCGTGGACGGCCACGTTTGGCTACTGCCGAGGTAGCGGCCGACGGCCGAGCGTGCGCTCTCGTGAAGTGGCCACGTCGCTCTGAGCTCGGCCGCGCAACCTCTCCGGAGTTTGCCCGTGGGGGCTCTGCTCCCTCTTACCGGAGGCCGGGCCGCTGCGTGCGTTGCACCGCCATGGAAAAGGGTTCTCTGGTGGCGTTTCTTGGAGTTTGAACTACGCCGCGCGAGAGCCAATGAGAGCCTATCCATCCCATTTCTGCTACAGACGACAGGCTTCGCTCCATTGGGACAGGTGAAGGTGCCGTTTGGTGCGGCTTCAAAAGCTGATGACGTCGGTTCGGTCCATGGGATAGTCAATGCTTCCGTATTAATACATATATATTAGAGGTGTGCGAATACCGGTTAGAATCGTATAAATAGCTCATGTCATCCCTAGCTTTAGCACTGATAAGAAAACCGGTTGCCGTGTTTTCCCTTCTACTGTGAAGGTTATGTATGACGCAGTGCTATTCATTTCGAACTGATATTCGCACACCCCTAGGGGTGTTACGTGTTTGAATAGTTGTTCGAATCGGATAGGGCTGTGTCATTCTTAACATTCACTATGTAAAAATAACATATTAGACGTGCGCGAATACCGGTTCGAATCGAATAAATAACTCATTATCACCCTTTACTTTAATACTGTTAAGAAAATGGGTCACGGTGGCTTTTCCTTCCACAGTGAAGGTTATGAATAACGCATTGCTATTTGATTTGGATTAGTATTCGCACACCTCTACAATTTATTTTAAAGTTGGTTCACCCGGCAAGGCCATGGACAGGACAGCTCTACAAACAAACTTTTCCTAGCAAGGGAAGAAAACCGATATTGCATGTGTCAACTGTTTGTGATGCAGCAAATGACACCACGGGGCCTTGTACTTGACTTAATTCCGTCGTTTCAGCTAAATTTGTAGCGCATTTTACAGTCACAAATTAGCGACTCTGACCACTATCTGAAAAACAGTCGCTTGGAGTGCTCTGAAAAGGCCGACAGACGTCTGGAGGTATCAAAATAAACAAACACACCAGATGCGGCACGTGACTTTCCACTTTTATTGCATGTATGTTAAATAGCTGACTTTTATGTAAGACACATTCTAAAATAGCGCTCTGGTGAAAACGCAGTGCGGAAACAGAACCTAATCAAAATTATGTTTACTCTATAAAGCGTTCGCGCCGCTCCGAGTTTTCCAAACTATATGTCATCGCGCAGGGAACGCGCCATGTCGAGACAGCTAAGTGCGTGCAGTCATTGGTTGAGGTCGGTGAGAAACAAAAGCAGCAGGTTGCATCTGGCGGGTAAACAAACGTACGAGGTTCTCAAGAAGCAGACCAAGTTGCAAGCCGTATATTAAAAAAAAAAAATCGCATATGAGTATTTTTTTTTACAGAACACGAAGACGGCCAATCATGACGAACAGGGTTCCAGCGTATGACGAAGCTCAGAATACGATTACGTCATAAAAATGTGACGAACGCGGAACGAAAAGCGTGACGTTTCACATAGCCATTGTCCCTACACACATCGCATTCTTTTTTACATCTAATTGTGTTCGGAACTTCGTCGATTGTTGAGATCCTTCTATTGATCGCCGTGATTGACTGCCTCTCTGTTTTACAAGAAAGCGAACGTATGCACATCTTTTTTATAGTGTACAAATCACAGGTCACGTGGTTACCTGTGTCCTGAAATGTGAGCAAATAACGTTTACGCCCTATAGTGGCTAAATTGACGAAGATATTGGCTCCTGTCGCCACAAAACATGCGCGACCATCAGCTGCTACGTGTGAAACAGAGAGGGCCAGTGAAGAGCGCCCATTCTCCGGAATTCTGGAACATTTGCAGCTTGCGCCCTCTCTCGAACGTTTTCAGCAAAACTTCGTAAATAATTTATTTTAGTCGAGCAACCGGTTAAATTGTAATATTTCCTGCAATATTTATCGACGTCAATATTACAATTTTAATTAATACTAATAAAAAAGACTCGGAAATGTATACGTTTACTTGCTTGGTCCGACAATTTGTTTGAATTGGGTCCTACAGGTACCACTTTTGGTAAATCTTGAGTTTCTAGCCATTATGTTGAAGAAACGTAATATTCTCGAGAAGTGCATAATATGGCGAGACTCACAACATATACCATATTTTACATTTTACTTTCTTCAAATATACCTTTTATTTGTCAAAAACTTTTAGTAGGGCCATATTATTAGCCAAATAAAAATTACCATTCCCGCGTACATCGGCGCACTGGCGCCAAATAATCTTGACAAAAGCCCAGGGCCTCCGCGGGTCGATGGCATGTGGCATTTGTAACACAAATGAAGATTTTTGCAGTATCCGAGAGATGAAATCTACGTACTATCTAGGAGAAAGCGTCGCTTATAACATTGTTAGAATTGTTTTAAGCCCAGACTAAAAGGATGACGCGAAAAAAAAAAAACAATAACAACAACAAACGTGCGCAGAGTGAAACTGTTTCACGGCTATCGGACGGATGGCGCCAGTGTACCCTTTCGGATCGTAAGCGCCCTCGAGCGAAGACAGCGCACTCGGCCACACTCTAACGCAAATACGTGAACCTGCTATGCCTAAAAGCCGCGGTCACTTTGCTATTACATCCGAAAAAAAAGAAAACAGTTGGCAGACATGTTTGAAGCATACATATGTAGAAAGCCAACATTGAACATACACGAGACGTGTGCGCAGAAAATTTCGTTATCATGTACGCAACGACCAGCGTGTCTTTCATACCATAGAGTTATTACAATGAACGCTAGAGGCTCAGCAGGCGCTAGTGTCTACGGGACTTCCGGTTGCAAATTGAAGCAGACAGCATGCAGTATACATTTTCAGCCTCCCTGTGTATTCCTATGCGAAAACGCGCGTGAATTATGTCTCTTCGCCGGAAAATAACATAAATAACTTTTGTCATTTCGGCTGTACCGAATAGTATGCACCTTTATTGGTATTGTGAAAGTGTAATCGCTTTAGTTACAGCATTTTTCTCTACCACTGAACGATGTTAAACTTCGCTCTATTTCAGGTCCAAACCTCTGTTTCAAGGAAGGTATGCGAAAACGAACGACGATTCTAAGCAAACGAACGATCGAAAGGAATGTAGAGTGTGTGTAGAGTTCAAGGTTTGCTAGCATTTCGGTGGTGCTTATATGTTGCTAGTATGCCCGTCCTGTCATTGGATGAAAATGACCCCGTCGTGCACCTTTAAAATCGGTTAAAGAAACATTCAAACGCAAAAAAATAAATCACGTGAGCTACGAAAAGTGTTTTTTTTTTATTATTTTCTATGTCGGGCAGTTTTTATCGGGTACCTGCTCTCTGGCTCTCCTTATTTGCAAAGATTTGGAGCGTGCGGGTGATGATTTGAACCCAGAACAAGCATCTTCGCACATATTCATGAGCAGAAAGAATAAAGTAGTACTTATTTATTGCAAATCTGACTATATTACGTGGCTTTCAATTTATTTTGATCGTCTGCGTGCACAAGGAGTTACTTATCCAGTGTTACTGCGTAGTTCTTGCCGTCCTTCCTGGTTTTCCACATGTCCTTCGATCGTTTGGCACGTATATCCCCCATGCTAGAAAGCGTCGACGGCGTGTTCGCGCTAACAGTGTCCGAGAGTGCATATAAATACACGTACGAAGCGGTTTTAACACCGTTTTTCATACCACGAATGCGTGACTGAGAAATGTTCCAATGTGCCTAGTACGTACAAATTATTCGTGATATTTGCTCGTATAATCGAGCGCAGAGAGAAAATGCACTCGCTTTTTCCTATAGAAATGCATTACCGGAAGTCAATTTCTGACTGCTTGCTGTCTGCTTCAATGTGCAACAGCACACTAGCGGCAGGTGAGCCTCTAGCCTTTATTGTAATAACTCTATGTTTCATACGGTGAACGAGCAGTCTGACTGCAGCTGTTGAACACCACGTGATGCCTCACAATGAAGCTGACACAAAACATCTCGCTAGATTGACCATTCTTTTTTTATAAGACATAATCGTACCCGTATATTAGAAATGTCTGCGAAGTGGACGTTGCGGGACCTCCCGTCGCCGCGCCTGTGGACGACGCACGTACCTGGGAGACGGACCCTGGCCCTTTCTGGGACTCCTTCTCGAGCGTGGTGTGGGTCTCTCTCAGGGCCCCCGTGCTGGGGTCCTTGTCGCGCTCCACCGAGCTCTGCACCTCGCGCAGGCAGCGGGGACTGGACTCCTGCAAGAAGCCGAAACCGGAGCCACCGCGGCACGTTATACAAATCGGCGCTATAAATCCGGAGAGCGAATGACGAAGTCCACAGTAAGCCTAAAGGGTAATTGGTGGGACAAACGGCGAGAACAGCGCACACAAAGATGACCACAAAAGAGAGGAGCAAACACACATACAATGTTGCCGTGTAACCGTTGCAGGTCAGCGCTGCGTGTGTGCTCTTCTCTTTCGTGGTCCTTTTAATTATTTTCGTGAAGGTCGTATTTTTTTTTAAGTACAACATATACGTTCGGGCACCGAACATGGCATGTCTGTGACGAACGTCCGAGAGAAAATATCTTTGATATGCGATGGGATTTCTGTAGGGCCACCAAGCCGTGAAATTCTGGGCGTCCGTACGTCGTGGCTGGATAGCTAAATGTAGCGTGAAAACTTCGATTGGGCGGTAATTACGCGTCAATACAATTTCGCAAGAATTGGCACAAAAACGGCGGCGCGCTTAGGCAGGCCAAAAGCGCCTAGCTAGACGGACGTGTGAAGATGTGAAAACGTTTCCAAGTGCTCTCGCATTACATTTTCCTTGGTAGCAACCAGGGTGGTGCAGTCTTCAAAACAGGGCGCTCTGCTGCTGTTCTGGTTCCGCTTTCATGTCGTCCGGCTTCGTGTGGTTGCTACCATATTCATTTTTATCGTTACCGGGTCAAAGTAATTTTTTTTTTCCATTCGTTTATGACCTTCGTTTGCTTCGGCGTTATACTGGCTTGGGCTCACTCGACTTGACCCCTGTATGCTGTTATTTTTCTGGATCTGGAGCTCTAACTCTAACGTGACGGAGGCCGTTGCCTGTGATGTATTTTCATGTATTTTCTTGGTTTCGCTAACGAGTGCCGCGACCATGTTACCCTTAAAACTACCACTTCTCTCTTTTTTCTTTTTTATATGTGTTTTGTTGGAATGTATTTTTTTCATGCTCAAGTGTTTTTACTTGTACTTTTATACATGACTTTTTTCTTTCGCTTTTTCCAATGCTCCTCCTCTCCTTTGGTCTCTCCAAAAAGCGCTTTGCAGCTGTATTTTCTGCACACTTGAAGAAGGGAAGTCTCTTCCCGAAACGTCGTGTATTAAAGCCTCTACTGCTGTTCAAACATTTTTCTACGTTTACGACTTTCTTGCTGAAGACTTGTTCATTAATACAGTTAACCATTCGAAGGACTTAGAACTGAAAACATACCTTCACAAATGAATGAAGAAATGTGAAGATTTGATACAGCTTATGCAGTGCAGGCTACTAAATGAAATGAAATTGAATATCTTGATAACCCATGAAACTACTCAAGCTGCAGCTTGTTTATATACTACTCCGGTTATATTTACCCCCCCCCCCCCCCCCCCCCCAACTAATCTTTAGTCACCTTCTTGCAAAATTTCTGATGATATTTTTGTCGTTCAACCTAAGGCCCAGTACGTGCAAAAACTATACTTGAGAAACATCACGTTTCTAGGTGAGCTTTCTCTGCACCTATCAAAAGGCTGATGAGCATTTTTGTTTTCTGTGCATTCGACCATTTTACGCTTAGCTTTTCTACGGTGAGTTTTACTCGGGTGAGCTTTTCTCTAATGAGCTTTTTTCTGGTGAGCTTTTCTCGAGTGAGCTTCTCCCTGGTGAGTGTTTCTCCGTCCCCCACATATACATCGGAGGTTTTGTTTACCTAAGTTGAATCTAAGTTGCCCGAAACGCGTCGTCGACTGGTGCGCTTAGCGTCCTATCCCACCCGTACATCCAAAGGCGTCCCCAAGTGGCAACAAATGACGTCACAGAAGCCAGAGTGTCATGCTGTAGCCTGTCGCGATCCTGGCGGTTTGCCGTAGAAATGCTGGCGAAAAGCACGAGCGAACGCGAGTGTCGCTGTCGTCACGGCGTTTCAGGCGTCCCTACTTCCGACTATTTTAACTTCCGTGGACTGTCACAGTGGAGACCGACCTGCAGCAAAATAGACGTCTGCTGATTCATCACCGCTTCTGTGACTCCGACAGAATCGCGACCGGCGACCGCTTGACACTTCTACGACGCCATTAGGCAGAAATTGAGGGACCATTTATTGGGACATGGTAAACACACGAGTCTGGCACCGCACGCAGTTGGAACCTATATGCGGACCCAAATTAAGAGAGTATAGTTTGAGCATTGGGGGGCTGTGCGTGGCGCCTGGCGTGCACGTGATAACCCATTCCTGCAGTGCTGCGTCACTGACCGACTGCAGCGATGTTCCCTTGAGGTTGGCCAAGGCGTCTCCGCTCTTCGGGGCCCAGACTGGCGAAGACCACGGCACCTCCGTCCTCACGTTCTCCTTGTTGCTCAGATCAGTCCCGCCCCTGCAACAAGACGCACCGATGGTCAGCGAATGAACGGCGACTATGATGGAGTCAGCACTAAAGTCACTGAAAACTTAAGAAACGCAGGGCGTTACGAGTCCCGAATATCTTATTATGGCTCCGCAGCCAATGAGATTGCAGCATTAGCCGAAGAGAACGTCGAAAAACAAATTAGAAGGCGAGAAGCGTGAACATAATAAAACGCGCTCTGCGTTTCTTAAAAAAACAAAAAAACAAACAAAAAAAAACCCTGACGCTTTTAAATTTTTTTTGGCAGGCAATTAATAAGTTGTCAGGAGACTACCCAATCAATATCTTGCTACGGAGTCACGTGTGTATATTTTTAATAAAGTAAAAAAAAAAAATCAACTGCTCGAAATTGCAACACGAGCACGGAAGCTCATGGCCGGAAGTCACATGACTACACCCGACAGCTTTTTTTCTTTTTTTTTTCCGGTGCGCACCGTTTGTCGCGCGATTATTTCGCACTTATATCCCTTCCGCTTGATGTTCAGTGCTTGAAGATCGATAAGCAGGGTATTACAAACGACAGTTCTGAAGTAACGGCCCCACGTCCGTTGCGCGCCGCCGTCACGTCGTCAAGCCCACGGAATGCCCGTGGTACGTCGCCAGATTGAGAATGACGTGTACATGTACTTGTTGTGATCTGTGCAACTTTTTTTTTCGATAAACTTATTCGCAGTTTTTTGAAGGCCACAAAAATGGGGTTCATATTGTTTTCTATTTTAATGCGAATTAATGCGAAAAAATTAACTGGCTCATGGAGTGAGCCGACGCCATCAGTTTTGAAACCATGCAAAATGGCACCTTAATGAAACCACGCGCAAAGCTATTCAACGGCACCTTTTGCACTTCGGTCCCATTGGCCGCTGCGCATCAGTTTGTGTGGTGTCATGCTGACTGTGTTATCACAAATGTGTTATCACTGATCACCGCGTTCGCTCGCCTCTTGTCGGTTGTACGGCGCGTGGCGATATACACGGCGCATGGAATAAACCGAGGGGTTCGTTCTGCTGGGAACTACGTTGCTGTTTGTTCCTTCCTCGCGCCGCAAGGCACACGACAGTTTGAACGATCGCTCATCAGATGGCGCTGCGTGTCTGCGAGGTAGCGGCTCTACAGTTCCACGTCCAAGGTCAGTGCGTTGTACGCCGCATATTAAAGAAGGAGCGAAGAGCGGCGTGCGTGCTTTCGCATTCAAAAGTCATAAGAAGAGCTCCAAAGAACAGGTAGTTCTTTGGAGCAAGGATATATTTTAAGAATTCAGCTAAATTTTAGGACAGCCAAGCTCTGTTTTCGTTGGGCTCGATTCAACAACCTAAAATTCCAGGCAGCAATATTTATATACCTTTACATTAGATCTCTTTCTCCGTGCCGGTGATGTATACAGGGTGTTCGTGCCACTTACGGCCGCCATGACAGGTGATGAAAAATTTAGTCAGTGCAGCACAACCGCTGACCTGGGGTTTTTAACGTGCGTCACGCAGTAGTAATTACACGAACGCGTGCCGGTACGAAACTCATCCAGATCGAAACGGGCGGGGGCAGTGGGGATAGAACCCAGGAGGTTCCCAGCGCAAGCTTTCGCGCATACACTGCGCCGGCCTTTTATCAGTTGCGAAGCGCCGCTCGCGTATCTTACTGCACTTTGCCATCTCCCGGTGAAAATGGCCAGAGACGATTTAGCATGCGGCCAGCAACCTTGTCCAACGCTTAGGATCCTCAGGTTGCCCACAACCAACGCTGGGTCACTCGAGCGCATCATTTGTTTTGCGTGCAAACGACGGACGTGGGCCTCTTGGAGGGCTTTCAGTCTGCACAGAAGCGAGGATAGGGGACCCCGTGAAGCTCCGTGGCACGGATCCAGTGCTGCTCTTGGGGTTTCTCCGCTGCTCGCTGGGTCGGCGGCTCTTTCGTCGACCCAGCGGATTCCAGGGAAAACGGACCCGGAGAAGCAAAAAGCGCCGTTCCACAATGGCCGCTTATTTATAGGCTCCGGCAAACGAGGAACCGGGACACGCGGGCCGCACGAAGTTTACTGGGCTAGCGGTGACCTCCCGCAGACGCAGTGGGACATGGCGACGAGTGGTGTCTGCCTTTTTTTCCGGCGTTTCATTCGAGCGCTCGGATTAAACATGAAGACTATAAGGTCAAGTTCTCCTCTGTTGGTTAGACTATTTCGCGGAAGAACTCGCTGAACCCGGCGCATTTTGCGGCGTGGGATTAAATCGGGTAGCTTGGGCTTTGACATCATGTCGCTGCGGTTGCGCTGCCATTGCCGCAGCCCATAACCGCAGACTCTTCACTTACTTCGCGTGCATCGGGTTTCTGCGCGTGCGTAGTGCCCACACCTGGGGTGAGAAAACGGGCAATTGTTTTTGTAAACAGCGTGTTATTCTATGATTATGTTTTAATTGTCCGAAAAATATTCGCGTCAACAAATCTCGGTCGACGTAAAGCCTGCGCGCTCTCTGCCGTAGCGTAAAATTGACTGACCAAAATGTGGTACGCTGATTGGACACGAGCGCCCCCTCAGCAAAATCAAGGCAATAAAGTTATTGAATCGATGATCCTAAATAACTGCCATCAACGTGTTTACTGTCATTAAAACTACAAAACGAGATGGGTGAAAAAGAAAAACAACATACAATTGAGGGAAGCATATTTTTTTTTTCTCAAACTAAAGCAACTTTCATACGTGAGCGTTTTACTGTTTGCAATGCGTCAAATGCTTTTTATTAATTAATTATTTTTTCTATACCAAGTTGTGCTTTAGTTCTATTTTTACGTTTGCCAGAAACAAATAATAACATAACCTTGCCTTTAAATGACCGAAAGGCTCGGGAAAGGTTCGTTGATCAGCGGAATATATGACTCCTAACGATATTCCTTTTGTTCCCCTCTACAGCCGGTGGCAGTGCCTGTGAAATGACATTTTATGTTCTAGAATAGCTAAAGCTTTATGAGAGGTGACAAAATAAACCCCCTTCGAAATTCACTTCTGCCGCTTTATTTCCCGCTTTATTGCCTCAGTGCTCCTTACACGCTATTGTGTCGTTGTTCTAAAAAATAAAAGAAAAAAATAAAAGAAAACGTCTGCTGTACGCAAACTTAACAGCACTATTCGCCTTTGCGCCTTATAATTTAATGCGCCGTTTGGTGGTTATGAAAATGTAAAAAAAATTGCAATGCATTTCGTTTCTTTTTTTTTTCTTTTTTAGTCGAGCAAACGACACGACATGACCAGCTGAAAAACAGGAGGCATGGTGAGTCGCGTTCCAAACTTAGGCTCTTACGGTTTCGGTTACTGTAAGAGTATCCACTTTGCGCAGGTATGTCGCCAAGGCACTGAGCTTAATTATTCGTTGGATGAGCTACGGACTTTTCAAAAATGTTTTCTACCTCTTGTTCGCAACATGCTCACTTGTGCGACACTTGAAATTCGTTAGCTACCCAATCTAATTTGGCATTCACAAAAAAAAAATAATAATAACTTTGGCACTGCAGTGCTCATTCTTTGCTAACCCGACTCTTAGATTCCCAGAGCATGAAGACGTAGACAAACTGCTCATATATCATACAAAAGACACGGTCTGCCGACATGATAATAGAATTATCTGCAGAAATGTCTCAATCATGTTCTAAACATGTTTGTTTTATACATTCGTATGCTTAAAATATCTCCGCAGATAGTTCTTGTATGACGAATAGGGCAGCGCCGTTATCCCACGGAAGACAGGAGCCTCGAACAGTGTCTTCAGACTGTCTTTTGCAGAAGGATTTAGCAGTGAACGCATCTTTACTTTTCCAGTTACTGTCAGATTCTTTGTTTCATGCAGGTACGTTGTCAAAGTACAGAGATTAATTGTATGTCCGCTGAGCCTCGGACATTTCAATCTCTTTTGCGACCACTTGTTCGCGACGTGTTCGTCTGTGCGACACTCACTCAGAATCCGAAAGCTGCCCGATCGAATTTGGCATTTACGTCAAGAAAAGACCAGCTGTGGCTACGCTGGGCTAATTCTTCGCGAACTCGACTCTAAATTAAAAGAGCATGACGATACGATGTCGGCACCAAATGTACTACCCAATATAGGTATAAGCCAATAAAAAGTAGTATTCTACACGTAAAGAAAATGCAGAAGGCCAAACGTCTCTTTCCTTTTACCCCACTCATATTCTGCAATCATATCATATTGGTGATACATCACATGGGCTGAATTTTTTATGTTCTTTTGTTCGTGACACCGCAAATAAATATTGCGAGTTTGCGTTCAATAAACTCAGTTGTAAGTCAGCGCTACGTCCGTGTCACTTCTTTGTCTGGTCCTCGTCTTTCCGCGCTGTTTTTAATTTCCGAAGTATGTACCAACTCGCCCAAGCCTCAACTTTAATATCACCCGACACGGGAGAGTGCAGACGTGGAGAGTCAAAATCCACCACAGAACGTATATATATATATATATATATATATATATATATATATATATATATATATATATATATATATATATATATATATTGTACTTATTAGTCCGCAGATACAATGTGTTCTTTTCATACCTCATCTCGGCTCTGCTCTCGAAGGTACCTCCGGCGGCAGGCATCTCCTTTCGCACGCAAGAACTGCGGGAAAGCACGCTTTGGGGAGCCACATTTGGCGAAAAAGAGCAGGTGCGTCTGCCACGTTGGCATTCACATCGCATGGCTGCTGTTCTCTCTCCCTGGTGGTACATATCTCAGAGGGGCCTGGCGGTCGCGGCACAGATGCTTTATTCGGCGTGAAAATGGTCGTATACTTTGTTTGTTTTTGTCTGCTCGGTTGTGAGAAAAAAAAGTTCCATCCTATCTTGCATCGCTGTGAAAAAGCGTGACATCCGCGAGCTGCAGAAGCTTATTTTTAAAGCGTAAATGCCGTTTGGGAGCGATCAGTTACTAACATAGCATAACTTCTTTAATTTGTTTGTTTGTTTTGTGTT